TTTACAAGCAAGTCCCCAAAGGTTAAAAGTATACAACTTTAGCACTACGGCCCAAATGAACTTAATTACAAGTACGAATCTGTTTAGAATATTATAATCTTTTTTGTCAAAAGGAATTCAAGAACAATTAGTTACAAACTCATCTTTACCAAAAGTAAATCAATTACAAAAGATGAATAAGTAACGAAAACAAGGTTAGCTCTCAAAAGGTCTTCATATCCAAGCACAAGAATGCATGCAATCTATTGTCCGGCATTTTGTCCTGAAAAGAAAGATTAGGTTGAGTTATACTAGTTTAGTAGGAAAACCTTTTACCAATTCTATGTGCAAATGTGATGATTAGTGCAGAAGGAAGGAGACATAAAGGTACAACTCAACCGGTGGATAGCAATCAACTCGTTTTGATCATTTCAACACATGTCTTTAACACATTTAGCCATATTGTTCATAGGTCTTAAGCAACATTATAGTTTCGACGCGACCTACTGTCACTAATCTCCACTGTTTGTATTTCCACCTCTTGCGTTACAGTATGACACCCCCAGGGTTACCGTATTACCACCTCTTGCGTTACAAAGAACCCTAACCGGTTGGATCATCGTATTACCATCCTTTGCGTTACAAGACCTGCTTGAGTCTCTATATTACCACCCCTTACGTTGCGAGACTCCCTAATCCAACTTCCGACCCAAACAACTACTTTCTTACACAATATGCAAACTACGTCTTTCTCATGATCACATTCATGCAAGGAACATCATACATTATGCCAACAATATTACCACTATGTCACAAACACTCTCAAGTAATCAGTCAATCAATAAGTTACATTTTAACACGATTTTAATCGAGTGAATTCCTATTCATTTCTTGCTAATGGAATGCTAACAGATCATGGATAACTTCAATGAATCAAAGGAATTCAATTGGACGCGCTTGGAATAGATCAGGAGGTGTCCCAAAGGATTTAGAAGTGATTGGGAATCAAAACGGTCGAATTGGGATAATATGGCAAAACTGCCCAGAATGCAATGGAGTATCGATACAAAAATAATTGTATCGATACGGGAACGTTACGACAGATTCTAAGGCTACTGGAATGAAGATGCCTTCAGCGTATCGATACACCAGCACTCGTATTGATACGGGGACGTTACGAACGACGATTTTGTGCAGAAAACTCAAAAGCAAAAACAACAAAACAACAAACGATTCAAGACACGATTTCTACATTTAATCAACATATAAACACATAAAAGTGGCAAAAGGTTTTCCTACTGGGCTAGTGTAGCTCAAACTAATCTTTCTTTTCAGGACAAAATGCCGGACAATAGATTGCATGCATTCGTGTGCTTGGATATGAAGACTTTTTGGGAGCTAACCTTGTTTTAGTTACTTAATCATCTTTTGTAATTGATTTACTTTTGGTAAAGATGAGTTTGTAACTAATTGTTCTTAATCCCATTCCTTTTGACTAAAAAGATTGTAATATTTTAAACAAATTCATACTTGTAATTAAGTTGATTTGGGCCGTAGTGCCAAAATTGTATAATTTTAACCTTTGGGGACTTGCTTGTAAAGTTAAATAGTTGGGAACTCTTTGGGGTACTATTTATAATATGTGAGGAACTTTTATTAAAATAAATTATTTATTTATGTTGAAAATCGAGAGCGTGACAAAAATAGAGTCAAAAATTTAATGATGTTAGGGTATCCACAATGGTATAATCAAAAATTGATAACCAAAAGTTGCCACATTAGTTTTTGATTATTCATTTAAGAGATTGCTAAGGTTAGCAATGTAGATGTCTACAAAGACATAATCAAAATTGGATAACCAAAACTTGTCATATCATCTTTTCAAACTATAAAAAACTAAAAACTGTGAACAGTTGAAAATAGGTTTTCTAAAAATAGTTTTGAAACTAATAGAAACTATTTACTAGAAATAGAAAATAGTTTTTGAAACTTTTTTTTGGAAAAAAAACTATTTTTAAAAATATATATATATATATATATATATTTGAAAATATTGTTCGAAAAGAAAGAGAGAGAGGAAAGGGGAAGAGAGATAGAACATTTTTATATAATGATTGGTGTATTTGATTGAGAATATGTAGGGTACTCTAATAAATTTGGTTATTGTCAAAAGATCGCTAGTTTTGGTTATCCAAAGCTCAAAATTTGATTATTTCTAAGGAGGTTGTTAAGTTTGATTATAGCATTGTGAGTCATATTTTGCACAAACATTGTTAACTTTAAAACCTTTTACTTTTGATTATAATATTGTGGATACTCTTAACGGAGGTGACTAATAATTCACGATTGAAGAAATTGGACTGAATAAAATGTTTGAGAGGGTTATATTGAAGTGAAGTATGCCATAAATAAAAAGGCAACCGATAGACGAAATTGGAAATTCTAATTAATCAAAACATTATACCCTTACGGAGCACATGCTGGAGGCTAGTTTTTATGAAAAAATAATTGATTCTCCGTTCCACTATCTCTCGAAATCAAACTCTTTTTTTTCTTTTATATATGTGATAATTACTGGACCAGCTTACGCTAAGCCTCATCATTTAGCCCGACGGCCTACGGCCCACCCTTAGCCTGCCCGGCCCATCGGGCTTTTACCCGACCCGAGCTCGAGAAACGGGCGGGCTAGCCCGGCCCGTAGTTTGTAATGGGCGGGCTCGGGCCTATGAATTTTTACTCGGCCCGTCCGTAGGCCCGGCCCGTGAGCCCGCCCGGCATACCCGTCCAAAAGCCCGCCAACGGGCCCGCCCATTAGCCCAAAATCCCAAAAAATCCTTTCTTTTTTCCCTTGGTTTAGTTTTGCCTAAGGAAATTTAAGTCCGCCCGTTGGCCCGCCCGGCTTTTGGCCCGCCAGCCCGCCAATTGGGCTAGCCCATGGGTTGGGCTTGGGCTTCAATTTATGGTAGTTGGCCCGGCCTGGCCGGCCCGTCAAAAAGAAAAAGCCCGGTCGACCCGGCCCGTGGACGGGCTTGGGCCGCGACTTGGCGGGCTGGGCCGGCCCGGCCCGGCCCGATGATGACCCTTGGCTTACGCACACACTTCTAATAATCTCCGAGGGAACAATCCCGTCCCCCGCTAGTGGGACAAAATCTCACACATGGATTGCTCTGAGTTGATAGTATTTGAGAGGTTTTTAACATGAGATCTTAAGAGGGTGTGAACTCCTAAGTCTCATGCTTTGGTCACCATCAATGCAACAGTTTTTCATAACGCCTCTCTCTCATGGAATGTGACCTACAAGTACATTGGGCTCAGACTATATAAGAGGACCTTACAAATAACCGTTACATTGGAAATTTTTTTCCATGGGGGTCTTCAATAGCCGCGCACTAATTAACGATTTGTAGATTCAATGTGCCCAAAGGAGCCCTTCTTTGTTACCTCAGGAGGCACTTTGAATGCCCCGATTTCATTCACTAATTTTGGAAATTTTCCAACAATGTTTACTTGTTGGGTTAATTTAGAGGCATGTGTGGTTTATTTTTCCGGCATTGAGAGACTGATATCAATTCACATTTTAATTTGTCTTCGTAAACTCTGAATCACCACCCTCTCGCACCGCGTGCTCTCTCTCTCTCTCCCATCCTAAAGAAGCCACCGCCTTCCATCTCCCTCCTTCCCCTCCCCCAGGGTTTTACGCCTCAATGGGTGACAGGAGGGGAGTGATTTCTCTCCCTTGTGGGATTTTTCCATCTCCGGATCCTAGTTCTCAGAGCTTTTTTCTCCTTCCTCCTTCCCAAACCACCGTCCGCCGCCCCTCTTACGCTTCTTCCGCTGTGTAGTCCGACGGCTGTTGGAGGTAGTGCTTTGCAAATCGTGGTCCCTGGAGGCGTCCCCCCCTGACGGAGAGGAGGATCTAGATTGGTGGATGAAGTCTGCTCCAGTACGATGGACTCCATCTGGTTCCATTTTCGATTATTCTCTTCTTCATTTCCGGTTCTCTTCTTTGGTGTCCCTTGCATGGGATTTCTACTCGTTTGTGGAGTTTCTCTCACTCCTATGTGGATATTTTTGGTTGTTTCTGCAGTGTTCTGTCTGTTTGGAGCGATGGGTTTAGTTGGAGTTTGGTATAGTCTATGGATTGGCTCAGTCCCCTCCTATTTGGTTTCTTGATCCCTTGTTTAGGGATAGAGTTTAATTTCTCTCGATGTTTTGTTTCTTGAATCTATAATATCACATGCTATCATATTGAAAAAAAAAAAAAAGACTTCGAATACCTGGTATTAAGCCCCATTTCCGGTAAATTACACGTATTAGCTAGACAATAACTTTTTTGTTTTGTCCATATTCAAATTTTTTGAACCAAACTTTTATGTATTAGAAGATAAAAAAAACTTTTACGGAGTATGTATTATTGTTTGATTAGCTTTTTGAGCTTTTTCTTGGACATTTCCAAAAATTTTTGTGTAAAATCTATAATTTTTTACTTTTCCAATTTCTCTCGTCAAGACCAAAACCAAAAATACTTAAATTTTGCCGTAAAACTAATAAACATGGAAAAAAAATTGAATATGGACAAAATAAAAAAAAATTTAATTTAGCGAAAACAGGGTTGGTTATATTAGTTATATATCGGACAAGTCTAAGAGAAGATAAAGAAAACACGGAATTCGATTGAAACATGTAAGACTACAATCTCCGATCCACGTCTGAAATCGTTCACATTCTAGAGCTATTGAGAACTTCAACTATGTCAAAATTCTAGTTGACTTGATGTTGTCGAACATATTTAGCTTAAAAAAATATGCTCCTCCAATCTAGTGTTGCTACCTTATTTTTTCTTAAAGGCAAATCGATTCTGAAATCAATTCACCTAATATGAGATAAATTGATCCTTGGCGTGATTTATGCTCTCAACAAATTATTAAAATATGAAAAATTTTAATCAACACAAGAGCCCTATATAAAGAGCCCATAATGGGCCGAAAACTCCATCAATTGAACTTGAGAGGATTGAGAAACCCTTCCTAGTGAAGTTGGTTGTCTCACTCTTCCTCCACAGTGGAGGCGGAGGTTCGAGTCCCACGGAAGGCGAATTTGGGGTTCAGGGCTATGGACAGCCTCTGGGCTCTAGATCTCCTTTGGACTAACATACTAATACCATACTAACCCCTGCTGATATATACATTATTGGCAAAAAAAAAAAAAAAAAAAGAACTAGAGTGGATCCAGATCGATCAATGAAAGAGAAGAAGAGTTTGATTTGTAGAAATAGTGGAGGGTGCTATACGGAGAATCAAAGTTTTATTACTGTAAAAAAACTCCAAGTGGTAAAATTTAACTTATGAGTGATTATATAAAATTCAAAAAACTTCTCAAGCCCAATTCTCTTCATGTTTCAATAAAAACCAATTTTCTCACCCGAAAATACCGTTATAATCACTTTTTAGCAAAATAAATCAACAGTCAACTTATTCACTATTTTTGCTAAAAAATGGTTATTTGTCAAAATATTTGGGTAAAAGTAAATTTTTTTTTTCAATTTCTCTTATTGAGACAAATCAATAATACACAAAAGTTAGGCGTAAACAATTCTTTAGGAGAACTCACCCTTAGATGTTACCGAAAATGATTGAGGTACCGACCGTGTGTAGGGATTTCGTACTGACCGGCTTCGCCGGGCGGTCTCCGGCCACCAGACGGCCGATCCGAACCGTCCAAAATTCTATTAAAAAAAACCGAGGGGCCCACGTGAGAATCAACGGCATCCGAGATGTGTAGGGTACTTGATCCGAATATCCATTTTTCGTGTATATACACGTATATACATATATACACGAAAAAGGGGTGCTCGGATCAAGCACCCTAGACACCTCGGATGCCGTTGATTCAAGCGCGGCCCCCTCAGTTTTTTTTTTCAAAATTTTTAGACGGCTCAGATCGGCCGTCCGGTGGCCGGAGATGGCCTGGCGCGGCCGGTCGGTACGAAATCCCTACACACCCCATCGGTACTTATAGCATTACTCAGAAGTTACAGAGTACTACTCCTGCTATTACTGTAGATCCCATAGATTCACATTTTTGTCCTTGTCAAATCTCAGATATTTATTGTCGATATCAATTTGCAATCAGACAAGACTGGAAAGCCTCAATTCTTCTGCTGCTGACGCTGTTTAGCTAGTGCTGATGCTGCTATAACTGCTACGGCTAATTTGATATTGCTGATACTGCTACTTTGGCTGATGCTGTCTCTATTGCTGAAGATCAAGAAGTTTGCATTCTATAGGTGTTGCTACTCCCCCTCTAGAACTCTGAGATGGGCAGTTTGTGGTTTGGATATCGATTGATTGGTTGGAGTTCCACCACTTATTGGCTTCATTCAATCTCTCATTGGATGTATTTCTTTTCTTTTTATTACTTTTCTTAGACCTCCTCTATGATTCAAACTTCCTTCGTATCTAGAGTGTAGTCTGACTCGATGTACATCTTGTCGAGTTTTAATAAAATCTTTTTTGCCAATAAATTAAATTCAAAAAAATGGGATTCGGTTAGAAAATATCACGTACGTCGGTTGAATGCAAAAATATGATTTTCTCGTGACAAGGCAGTGGTATTATGTGATTTTGTAATTGATTTAAGTGAGATATAGAGAGACGGGGGGGGGGGGGGGGGGGGGGGGGGGGGGGGGGGGGTTGTGAATTTTATAACCACCACACGAAAGCACAAAACAAGCCCCGGGTATACCCGTAGGCAAAGCAAAACAAGGGGCACATGTTTTTCAATTAGCTTATTAAGAATGTGTTTGATTTGTCATTTGTAAGTTAGTTTGATTTCCAGGAAAAGTTTATCACAATTCAAATAATTGTACGAGTAATTTTTTTGAAAGTGTCGTAGGACCGGGTCATCCGCAAGTATCGTGTACGCCTATTGAAAGAAAAGAATAAAAAATCTTAAATTATGTAGCCCCAAATTAAAAGTCCTTTTAATAAAATATTATTTTTGTCGCGTAGCCCCAAATTTTATTGATGATTGGTGAGAAAAACAGTAAGATGACGGGCGACGACCATAGAGACGAGCAACCAACAACGACAAAGCAAATCAAGTGTCGAGCAAGTTCTTCCCGTCAAGTTTTTTGTGTGGATTTCTCATTCTCCCACTAATTTTTGCCAAAAAAAAAAAAAACTCATTTTTACATAAAAAAAAAAAAGGGGGATGGGGTGGGGGCACGTCCCCACGTGCCCCTTACTCGGTCTACCCTTGCCCCTACGAAAAGATATGCAATTTTGATACCAAAAAATAAATACTTCCGCACATAATTTCAAATTTTCGTTGTGCAAAGAAAATTTGAAAATTACTCGCGGAAGTATTTTATTTTTTTGGTATCAAAATGGCACATCTTTTTATAGAGAATCAGCAATTTGGGACAGAAGAAGTACATACTAGGCATTTGCATGGCACTCGACATTGTCTCTCTTTTTTAATAAAAAGTTCTATCCAGAACCACGCCAATCAAGTAAGAACATAATGAAGAGGGTAAAGGAGTCACATTCAGTAACTCTTGATGGAGGGAATACACATTCCCTCCTTTCCAACTGAATTTCATATCCCGGAATATAGGCTCTGCGGACTGTGTAATCCGGTTCATAATGTGAGAGGAGTTTGGAAATAACGGTTCAGAACGTGTTTTGATAATTAATATTTGCCAAAGACATGTTGAAAATATTTGTTAATGCTGAAAATATTCTTGACAAGTATTAACTATCAAAACACATCATGAACCGTCATTTTCTTGACACGGACGAAGAAGAATGATTTTGAGGCCCTTAGACTTATATGCCTAGCATTGAATAGAATAAGTATTCACCTTAAGAAATCTTATGCTATATATCCTCAGTACGCTAATCATAATCAAACTCGATAGGACCCACGAACCCGACTTTTTTCCTTTCTTTTGCAATTCGAGAAACATTATTACACGAAAGATTTTTTGTCATAAAGAAAAAATTATTATGAGTGTTATGACAAATTTGAATGGAAGCCAAATGACAAAAAGAAGGGGATTTATTAGCTTGTTATCTAGTAGGAATCGGTGACTGGTCCGTTTTAGATTTAAAATGTTTCTATTTTTCCCATTCCAAAGTCTTATCCAGGCTCTGCAATTTCTTGGGTTTTTTTAGAAGTTTTTGTTTTTTGAGTTTCAGTCTGAATAAGGTAGCAAGCGTGGTTTTTTTTGTTCTTTTCCTGCGGGACCCATTGTATGACGTAGCCCGCCACGTTTGAATTTTTGTACATATTTAATTCACAATACATAGTAGAATGAAAGCACTACGCCCACCGCACGAGAATACCAAGTGGGCCAAGTCAACTATTGGGTGATGCGTCTCTTTAAAGTAGTTGACATCAATATTCGAATATGCCAAGTCAACTATTGTCGTGAAAAGGTGGATGTCTATGCCGTGTACTTATTTTGATATTGTTAAGTGGTTGGCATCACATCCTCTTGATGTAATAGAATGGATATACTTAGATAAACAAAAAAAAAAACACGGGAATGCCAAGTGGGCCAAGTCAACTATTGGCAGGGTGATGCTTCTCATTAAAGTAGTTGACATCAATATTCGAATATGCCAAGTCAACTATTGTCGTGGAGAGGTGGATGTCTGTGCCGTGTACTTATTTTGATATTGTTAAGTGATATCGTATTTTGATCTAGTAGTACCTTTCTTTGTTTGCTTTAACACTGCTTTAATTGATTGTTGTCCTTAACTGGGTAGGAGGAGCCGAGGAGGTTTTCTCAGCAAGATGATTCCTTTCTCTCTTTCTTTGACCATTTGGCTTGGAGATTCTGACTTCAATTAGGTTTCTTGCTAACCTCTGTTGACAGATTATAAAAGGATTTAGATTCATTTGTATTTGGTTTGTGATGAATGGGAACAGCCGTGAAGAGATAGAGAGAGGATCTTGTCTGATTTGCAATGGTTTTAGCAATGCGTGATTTTCAGTCCATTTGGTACACATTATGTTGTGAGGCAGATGAAGAAGATGATGATAGATACATATTCATATATGGTAGAAGTCCAAAATAATAGCCTTCAACTAACCGGGGGAGATGTGTTAACTTTTCCATCCATAATTTGGATGGGGGTGACTGATTGTCCGTAGTGTGTAACGGTTTTGTAATTGAAAGGGTAATTGTGTACAATTGATAGTTGAAGAGGAAAGTAAACATTTTCTCGATAGCTTAGAGGGCGAGTACATATTTTACCCTAAACTAAATTTAATTATAATATAATATTTATAATATAAAATAGAGCGATTTTTGTCTATTCGTATAAATATGAGTACTTCTATAGCAATTCGATCGCCTTTAATTAAGATCGTAGTCATCTGATTATTTTTCCTTTGACAATATACAAGTGAATTTTTCCTTTTTTTGGGTAGTGAGAATCTTTCCTTATTATATATTAACCGATACCAATAAATTCAATAACGCACGGGAATTTAATTGCCAAACTTTAATTGCCTTTTAATGTCTCCTGAAATGGATAATCAAAAATTTTGATTTCCAAACTTTGATTATGAACTACAATAATGTTTCTTTATCTATATTTCTTTTTCAGTTGATTGTCTTTTGAATTTTTTCCCACTTTAAGTTGGTTTCATAAATAAGGAATTGTCTCAAAATTATAACTAACAAAATTTGTAGATTACTTTAATTTGTTGGGTATTTAAAACACTCACGTAGAACATATAGTTTATATGTTATGACTATATTAGGTCCTGAGGTGCCTTTAGATACGAATATTCTCTAATAACCAACATATAGTATAATATGGGTAACAAAAGCACAATTAGACTTAACAACTTATCACTTTTCATTTTACAATTACAACTATATCTATGAGTCACCAAATTTAGTGCAACACATGCAGCATTAAAACGAAGTAACTAGCTTCATCATAATTTTTGTAAACATGTGAACTTAGTCCCTTTACAAGTTTTGAATTTTTTTTAATTCTTTGCACGATTCTCAGTAAATTTTTCTATCTTCTCTTTTCATTCATTACCACTCATTGCGTTAATTTTTTTTTGTC